CTGGAGGTCCCGAGGCCACTTCCCTGGGGCTTGCTTTTCGTCCCGAGGCGACTCGGGAAGAACATCAGGAGGGGAAAACACACACACACAGACACAATTCTAATCGTCGATTCTGGGGAAGATAGGGGGGAAGCATGGGAAGTGTGGGGGACAACCGAAAGAAACCCAGCAGATATGGGCAAATATGGGGAATCCTTGGATTTGTGTCCACTTATTTGCGTGTCCCTGGGCCCCTTTTTAGAAGAGTATTTTTTTGGGCGGCTCCGAGGCCCAGCGAAGGCCCCCGGAGGCCGACGACGGCCAAAAGGGCCCGCCTCTCCAAGTTTTTCTTGTTGGGGGGCGTTGGGCCTCCTGGGGTCGAGCCGCGCACTGAAGAGGTCGCCCCCCCCAGGCATGCGACGCCCTGATCTGTTGTGACTGTTCGGGGCCCGTGGAAACATCCCAGCCCCTTCCCCATGGACCGGGCCTTCCTCCCGAGTCGTTTCGTGACGGCCCTGCGAGGCCCCGCGGGGGCCCCCCGAGGCCGAAGAGGGGCCAACAACTTTTTCTCGGTTGTTGAACAGAATTCAGAGACGTAAGACTTGAGTAAACCGGAACTCGGGTTTGCCGACGTTTTTTGGACGAGCGCGTCCTGGACTTTGACGGTCCCGTTTCCGCGGGATGTCTGCAGCGGGAGCCCGCCTCAAATGCCAGACCGGGCCTCGTGATTTTTTTATGAGGGCCCCCGCCAGGCCGACCCGAGTCCCCCGCACCCGAGTCTCACGCCTCCCCCAAGAAAGCAGACCCAGACATCGGGCTGCTCCAATCTTTTCGATGCGTGGGCCCCGGAAGTCTGGACCACTTCCCCGGGACCGGTTTTTCGTCTTGAGTCGTTTTTTGAGGGTCCCGAGGCCCGGCGAGGGCCCGCGGATGCCGAAAACGGCCCAAAATCGCATGCTCAAATTTTTTTGGAGCGTCGGATCTCAGGGGACGGCGCGATCCTGCCTGGGCAGGCCGCCCCCCGCGCGGGGCCGCTCTCGCGCGCAGCCCTCGCGAGGAGGGCGGCGCCCCCGGCCGGGCCTGCTCCCCCGGGGGCGCGGGCGGCGCCGCGGCGCCGCCGCGGGGCGCCCCCGGCGGCACGCCGACCGGGCGGCGGCCGGAGCGCCTGCTCCCGGCCATCCCCGGGCTGCGGAAGGCGTGGCCAGAAAGCAAAAGAACAAACGACCATCTCACCTAGACGGCCCTGCATGCCAAGACAGGATCCGGTCGTGACAATAATCAGGGCCGGAGGGTTTTGGCAATTTTCGGCCTCGGGGGGCCCTCGCCGGGCCTCGGGACCGTCAAAACACGACTCAGGATGAAAAACTGGTCTGGGAGAAAGGGTTGGAACTTCCATGGGCCCCGCATGGAAAAATCAAGGCGTCGCAAGTTTGAGTGCTGCGCTGCGGTTCATCGGGGGCCGCAGCGTGTACTACGCAAAAGCCCACGCCAGAGCTCCTGGTGTGCGCTATGAGCTCCGTGACGTCCTGCATTTTTCGATACGGGGTCCCTGGATGTCCCGACCCTTTCCCCGGACCAGTTTCATCCCGCGTGTCGTTCTTTCACGGCCCCGAGGCCCGGCGAGGGCCTCCCGAGGCCGAACATGGCCCAACATTTCCAGTCCCGATCTTTTTCACTACACGCGATCACGTCTGGTTTCCCAAACCCCAGACGTCATGACTTTTTCGTTACGCCGACCCCAGGAGGTCTCGACCTGTTCCCCTGGACCGGTTTTTCATCCCGAGTCGTTTTCCTGACGGTCCCGAGAGGGGCCCCCAAAGGCCGAAAATAGCGAAAAATTGCCCATCCGGATTTTTCCATTGCCCGAGGGGGTCTGGGCCTGAAGGTACGTACGAAGTTGGTCGGGTGGTGTTTGTATGTACGTATATTTGTATATATATATATATAATTATGGTATATATTCGTGGCGCAGGTACGTACGGGAGGAGGTGGAGGAGGAGGAGGAGGAGGAGGAGGATGAGGAGGAGGAGGAGGAGGAGGGGGAGGAGGAGGAGGACGGAGAGAGGAGGAGGAGGAGGAGGAGGAGGAGCGGAGGAGAGGAGGCGGAGGAGGAGGAGGAGGAGGAGGAGGAGGAGAGGAGGAGGCGAGGAGGAGGAGGAGGCGGAAGAGGAGGAGGGGAGGGTGCCTGCGTATATCTTGTCGTGGCGCTGGACAGCTCCGCGCCCTCGCCCGAGGGGGTCTGGGTTTTCTGGCCCAGAAGGCCCCGTCCTCCCCGGCGATCCTGGCCGCGGGTTCGGGCCGGAGCACGCCGTCCGCAGCCAGCGGTCGGGGCGCCCGGGCGCCCGGCGCGCCGCAGGCCAGCGGGAGCGGCAGCCCGCACGCCGCGGGCTCCGGGCGGAGCACGCCCAGCGCGCCCAGCGGCCGCGGCGCCCCCGCCGGGCCGGGGCTGACGCTCCCCGGGCGGGGTCTGCCGCGCGCGCGTCCGGCCGAGGAGGAGGAGGAGGAGGTGTCGGAGGAAGGG